TCCCCGCGGGTGAGCGCGGGCCGCGTCCGCCGGGAGCCGCGAGCGGCTGCGCTGGGAGCGGCGGCGTGGGAGGGGGTACGCGCGTGGCCGCGGCGGCGGCTCCGGCTGCAAGTAAACAAACCGGCCTCCGCCTCCTGCACGGCCATCATGGAGGGAGGCTGCGGCGCGCGGGCAGCAGCTGATGCGCGGCCGGACCGCGCTAACCGGCCGCGCGCGGGGCTGAGTGCGCGGGGCGCGGAGCTGGGCCCGGGCGGGCGGCGGGCGGCTCCCGGCCCTCGTCGGGGTGGGGGGCAGCGTGGGGCGGCCTCGACAGGACCCTCGCTCTGGAATGAGTAGCGTGGTGGTGTGTGAGCCCCGAACTCTCGTTGCTGCGCAGCTGAAAAGGAGTAGTGACCGATTGCATCCCTCTTGACCTTAATTCTGGTTTTATTCTGTAATTATTGGTTGACCGCCGCTTGGATACAGCGACACGATCCCATCTTTGTTGTTATGACGATGTGCCTCAGGCCTGACTCACTGAGCTCCTGCCGAAGGAGTGTTATGCTCAGGGCTGAGATGCGCCAGGTACCTGCATCGCCAGCTCTCAGCTCGGAAAGAACTTGCAGCCGGCCCTTCTGCTGCAGCTGCCTGCTTGCTGCTCACCAAAACTTTGTAAACGGGCAGACACGTGTCCCCTCGTTTTGCATACAGAAGCCCTTATTTCCCAGGGCAGGAGGCACCCAGATGAGCTGGCTGAGCCTCAGGTGTCTGTGTGCTCTGGCAGGCTGCTGCATAGCAGTATGGATAGAATGAGATAAGGAGGAAAGCTTACCTGGCATTTTGAAGCGGGTGTGCTACTGAAGGGCAGCCCGTTCATTGGACTTTTTTTTTTTTTTTTTTTTTTTTCCATAGGAGTCATCTTTGGGTTGACCCCAATATCTTTAATTGGATTGGATTGCTAATTATAGCCCGTGTGTTTATATTTTAGTTGGCCACTAAGTCAAGTTCAAAGGAGATCTGAGGTGAACTGCAGAGAGGGGGAAAACTGTTTCCTAGAAAGCTTTGCCCCATACCTGGCAGCTCCCATTTCTCCAGTGGCACTGGTGGGGTGGGTGTGTGAGCATGGGGTGCGTATGATAGGACTGTCCCACTTGGGCAGTGCCCTCCTCTATCATTGCACACACAGACCATCAGCTTTGTAGAAACTGATGTTTCAGTGCCTCGCTCCGTCATTTGTTTATAGTTTGAAGGAAGACGATACGTTGTTAAATAAAATACTGATGTTCCACGGGATGCCACTGAGAAATCTGAGAGATGCATGAGCTTCAGCTTGTGTAGTGTCAAGGCTGATGGTACAGTAACTTGTATTAGAAAACAGTGTTGGCATTTTGACACTGGAGCGAATGCTTGGGGAAAGAATAGTGGTGAAGTTTTCTCTTTAGCCTAACCCCAAACCAGTGGAGCTCTGCCTTCTGTGTGTGAAGTGTTACCAGAGGCTGGAGCTCCACTTTGGCACAGTGTGTGCCTGAGGTTTCTACGTGAACTTGGGGCCTGCAGGTGGTTTTGGAATGCCTGCCACTGGATTCTCATACTTTGTGTGCATTTTCCCTACTACAAGAGTATATCAAATAGTCATTTCTTTATCCCAGAAATTTATTAATAAAGCTAAAGAGCTGAAAAGTAAGTTTGAAATACTCAGTTGTTTTCAGTGGTATGGCACCATTACTACAATGATTTGTGTCAAAACACATTCAAAATTTCTGTGCCATTGTTGGTGTAAAAAATGCAGTTTCTATTTGGAGCACTTGATTGTCACTTCATGTAGTGCTGTTGGTGAGGCAGAGAGGTGAGCCTGCATGTGGCAGCCTGCCTTTACTCCAGCTGTGTGGTATGGCCCTGATGTCCCCTTGCACCTCTGGCTTTGTCTTGCTCCTGACTGTACTCCACACTGGGGGATGGGTGAACACTGAACTAAGCTGAGCAAATACTTTGTTGTGCTGAACTTCCATCTCAATGTGCTCAGTGTGTAAATGGAGCTGCTTCAGCAGCAATGTGCCAGGCTGTACCTGCGTGTCCCATGGGGTGTTGGTTGTCCCATGTGAGCTGGTGTCATGTGCCTGAAGCCCCTCTAAGAAAATGAACGTTCCATTCAACATGTGTGCTGCTCCCTTTGGCAGGAACAGTGAAGACTCAAAAAGAGTGGCGTAGTTAAAGGTGTGCATTTGTGAGTTTTATTTGGCAGTACTTATGTGAAGTTTACCAACCTCTTATTGGTTCAAGTACTGTTTTTAGAAGAGAAGATATCCGATTTAAGCGCTCATTAAAATTACTCTGGAATATTAGGTTAATCTGTGCCGCCTCTGGTTGTCGCTCTGTGAGGACGTACCCAGTGAGAGCATCATAGTGGGCTTGGGGTTGCTCCCAGTAGGGCTCAGTGTGTTGTGTGAGTGTGCCTGGTGCCACAGGCTGTTCTTGGTAGAGCTGTGGCACCAGTTGGTCTCTGTGCAACAGGTGGGCTTGGTGGAGAAAAGACTATTTCCATAGGAAAAATTACACGGTGAATGGAAGAACTGATTCAAAGCATCTAAAAAGTCTGAATTTCTCTGAACCAGAGGAATGAATAAAACAAAGAGGTAAATGATAAAAGACTGAATGAGAAAGTTCACATTTTAGTGTTTTGTACAGTGTAAAATCATCCTTAAAATTTTGGTTTGCGTTTTGTCCTGGACTGGTTGTATGATGAAGATTCAGGGCTGTCTGTGGAGAGAAAAATTGCAAACAAAACTAAAATTGGAGAGTGCAGCATTATATTGTTTGGCATTTTGTTCTTGTCCTGTAGCTCTAGATCAGCTTGAGGTGCAACAACAGAAGTAGAGTAGTGCTGGGGCATGTGATGGATTTGGAACTGGTCCTTTTCATCATAAAACGTTATTGTCAGGGAGAGTAAGCATTTTTATCCTGTGCATATGAAGACTATTACTTTTGATCACTTAAAATGTTTCTTAGATTTTTCATATTAGTTACATTTAAATAACTTTGTCCATCTTCAGTTCATCTTGGCCAATTCTCCTGCTTATGTTTATGCAGGTCTTTAGGGGCGAGTCCTATTGATTGAAAATGGTGTTAAGAACAAGCTGTCACTTGTGAATTTTTCTGAGATATCTTGACTAAAGAGCAGTGGTTATTTTCCAATTCCTTTAAGAATGAAGCTAGGACCTCAGTGTCTCCTGTGCATGTCTGAATGACAGCACTCTTTGTCAGACCTTGCTGTGTTTAGTGTGTGGTAAGGGAATTTGAATGCATCTTGCAGCAGAGGCAGGGATGAACAGCCTGATTCAGCTTTGCTGAGAATAGTGAAGGTCTTGCCTCTGGATTTTTGTAGCTGTGGAATGGCAGTGCCCAGCAGTCAAAAACCTTTCATAGAGCTGGCTTAACACTCCAAAGTGCAGAATTTCTCATCTGAATCTCAGCTGTCTAGAAAACAATTTCTGCAAACAAAATCAGTTTTTGTTTTTCCCTGAGTGTTCAGCATGCTTCTTGAGATAGGTGATCGCTGCAAGTTGCCTAATCTATTTTTCTTGAAGTTGTTGTACCTTTTCCTATATGTATTGGTATATTTAGGGGCAGAGAGTTAAAGTTGAACATGTGAGTTTCTCTTAATTGGTCTCTTCATATATCTCAAGAGATGACCTTCATCTGATAAAGATAGCATCTATTCCTATGTGTGCTCAAGCAGCAATATGCTTGTGAAAAACATATTCTTCATTTAAGGTTGTAGGGAATTCCTTCTGTACTTGGGAAATTCAGAGCTCAAGCTGGGGAGAATAGTGCTGTTTGAAGACAAGCAAGCAGATCCCAAAGTCTTAGGTTGGAAGTTGGAGTATGATTACATTCTGATCAGGGGTGGAATTAAACAGTTAATAAGTTCAGCAGCTTTGATGGATCTGTGGGAAAGAATCACAAAGTTCAGCTCTATTTATGCAAACTAATTCAGTATTCAATTTGTACAATATCCACATAATAAATAAATCTTATTTCAAGAGTTTGAAAAAAAAAAAGATGTTTCTTGCTAGATATATCTCTGAACTTTTTCCATCTTGAATATTAATAGTTGGAGAGCATATTTTTATTTCAGTGCTTTCCTTTCCTTGTTGCCTTCACATATTTCTGGCTTTTGTTATCTTCAGTGATGGTGGCTTCAGCAGTGTGCTGGGAGCTGTGCACGTGCTGGGATGTTGGACTCCAGGAAACGCACTGTCTTACTTATGTTTAAACCTGGGAGTTCAATAAAGCTATTCTGTATCTCTTAAAGATACCTTTTAAAATACCTCTGAAAGAT